GTGGTTGTCGATAATTTGTTTAGTGTTATTCATGCAACTGTAACTGATCTTGATGGTACTGCGGTTGAAGATTTTTCCCAACAATGTAATCTCAAAGTATATAGTCGATGGTTGTGAATATTCTTATCATTAAAATCCCCTGAAGAGTGAGAGATCACGAAACAGCCTTGTCGGGATGAAAGCGTAGTTTTTTTTCCTACTTCCAATATTTATATCACGCTCTACTTTAACGTATCGAGCACTCTACTACGGAAAAAACGAAACACAGACTTCCTATATATATATAAATATATATATATATATATATATATATATATATATAAAGTTGTCCCAAGCATCTCTCTCTCCCGTCCTCATAAACACAAATATATCTTAATCACAAATGAAGACAGAAAACAGTACGTTAACGGCTAGTTAGTCACCCTAAAGAAGATCACTGAATGTGATCGAAATATAGGTGGATTGAAAGGAAACTGTTTTCTGTCTTCATTTGTGATTAAGATATATATATATACTGTTTGGAAAACTCATGCACTTTCCCTCAAATTCAACCTCTGTGCTCGGAAAGCTGCTGCTTGATTCGTCCAATTCTTCATTCTTCTTTTAAGAACAACAGGTCATCTACCATTTTCTTTACTGATCTAATTTTAGTTATCTCACTGAGATTTTAGTAACAAATAGATACAAATAGATCTAATATGAATCACATGCAGAAAAATGCTGATATCCGTTGACAGGACGCCAACTACAAAGTTTAAAATATTAATAGTACAAATCCAGACCTGACATGTCTTAATTACACTCTCCTAGGACTGAGGTTTCAGGGATTATTTAAAAAAACCGCTTGTGGCGCCATTGGAAAATGTCATACTAATCAAATATTTATATATGACACTTAAATGTATTATAAGTTAGCAAGAGGGTATACTTTCTGTTAGATAGTTTTTACAATATCAGTATTGTTATACGTTAGTTATAACTACCTTATGTCACTTTATACACGTAGTTTTACTAGTGAAGTAATAGACGTCGCCACCGCAATCAAACAATCAAACACCCACATTACTTATTGGCGTTTTATTTTAATTAATCAATTAACGTTAAAACTGGAGAAGTTGCAAAAGACCGTTTTCTTCCCTTGATACTTGAGCCCCAATAAATCTTCCATTGTCTCTGAAGACAGGGTGCTGATTTACTCTTGTAAGGGCAACTTGCTAAATTCTGCAAGTAGAAATCAAAACATCGCTACTTAACAATTGTTCCTCGAGCCCGAATGGGCTCTGACTCTATAGCCCATGAGGCCTCAGAGGCTATAAGGGCGAAAGGAATAATTGTTTTGGTAAAATCCAACTAGTTGGTCAAAAATGTCGAGACAAAACAACTTTAGCTAGCAAAACGCAATTCACCCGCCATAGTTTTGGTTTTCAGAGCCGGCTCTTTACGCTACTAGTGGGCTATAACATATAGCCTAGTAGTAGCTCAACCAATCAGAACGCAGCATTGATAATAGACAACTAGTTGGATTTTACTACATGTAATTATCCTGCAGTTTCCATTTCGTATATCCAGTACGTATAGCCAAAGTCTATAGTAGCCTTAAGCCATATTATACCAAGGGTATGTATACACTGCGTAGCTGGCATTTTTTTTGTTTGTGTTTCGAAAAGTAAAGTATACAGTCGTACGAAAGCTGAACCAAAGTCAAACGAGAAAACGATAACGGAAGGGGGGAGGGAAAGGGACCTGAGATCTCTCAGCCTTCTTCCTCACACCCCTCCCTTTCGTTTTCTCGTTTGACCTCTCAAACAAACGAAAAACACGTTGAACATTCGAATAAATCCGTCTGAATCCGTTTCAGTGTGGCTTTTAAGAGAATCTGTTTTCTCCAAATACTGATTGGTGTACTTTACATGCAGCTAATTGTGTGCACAGCCGTTGTTTCATCTTGCTTCTTTGTTTCTTCGTTTGTGTATTCGTTTATTTATTACAGCTTATATATTTCTTCTTTGCGCGTTTTTGTGTGCATTTGTTTACAGCTGTGTTTAATTATAACAACTTTGATATCTAGTTACTTTTCCGCATGGACCAGCCACTCAGCTCAGTTAGCTTTTGCTATTTCTTAGTGGCTGTGCTCTCTCTTTTTTTTTCACAATTTTTTCCTTTTAATGTCACTTTTGTATCAAGAGCACAATAAAGATTGTTGTTGTTGTATAACTTGAAATGCAACTTTAACACTCTAGGCCCTAAGAGTGATAAGCATCCAATTTCTCCTTGTAACATAAATCCTTTGTAAAACAGAGTGGTTATGAGAATTACAGACATGATCACACAAGATGAATTTCTTGATACTTTATCAACTTCTCCCCATTACTTCTATAGGAAATGAATAGGGGCAACAAATGAGAAATCAAATTTTGATCTTAGGGTTTAAAGGGTTAAGGAATAGTCCATTTCAGAGTCTCCGTCCCGGGCCTCTGGCAAACGCAAAAGCAAAAGCTTGAAAGGAATAACATAAATAAAAACAAACAAACAAAGAAAGAAACAACTAAAACTCGGAGGGTCGTGAGTTCGATTCTCACCTGGAGCTCAGAAAATTTTTTCTGAGCTTTCTAGTGTTTGAATTCTCTTTCTTTAAACAAAAGAAAAATGAAACTCGGGCGCTACCCACTGAAAGTTTGACCAAAATGTTCTGAGAAATAATGAACAGCTATTCAGCCGCTAAAAAGGAGAATTTTAGCCTCGAAGCCATTCTGAAAAAGGGACGATTTGGCAAATGCCATTCATCCCTCACCAACGCCTCCCCTCCCCCCCCCCCCCCCCCCCCCCCCCCCCGGGGGGGGGGTTTTTTTACTACACTAGCGGCCCCCCCTCTCTTCTCTTTCCTTGACAAAAGAAAAAAAAAAAAAAAATATATATTTTATTTATTCAACAAAAAAAAAA